ACTTCTAGGGCCATGTGTTTAACACATGTTTCCAATTATTGCTCTTACCAAAACTGGGAGTGAAAGAAAAGGAAAGCAGGCAAAATCTTTTTGTCTAATCCCATAAATCTTAACACACTGCAAAGGTTAAATAAGGTTGTATAAGCGTTTAGAACTATTGATAATAGCGATAAAAATAAAGACTTCTTAGAAAATATCGGGCAGAAACAACAATAATTTACAAAAAACAAACAAACGTATTTTGTTTCACATACTATAACATGAAAACCTGCGATGAATTATACAATGGTGTCTCTTTAAACCTAATTATAGATATTTTTTATGTCTCTAGCATTTCTTTCTTTTTATTGACGCAGTTTAAATGCTGGATTAATGAGCATTGTGTTATAGCATACAGCCTATATTCAGGTAATTACAAAAAAAGGAAGTATAAAAAATCGGGGCTCTTTAAATTTGGTTCGAGGAAACAAGCGAATTTTATAAAATTCTCGACGAATTGTTTCTTCATTCTTGTATTATGAGAAGCTCATGAAGTTCACAACAATACCACTTTCACACACTAACATTACCTATGGTAATATAATCTAAGTTAATAATTATGTATTGTGACAAATAAATACCAGTACGTAGCATGGTATTTTACACGTATGCTAGTATGTAGAATAATGGACATAGTAATAAGTAAAGATTTGAATGGCGAAGAATACTTTCAATTTTGTATTAGATGAAATACTTAATTGTAAAGTATATTGTATATTTCATTTTGTATTAGATGAAATACTTAATTGTAAAGTATATTGTATATTTCATTTTTAATCCTTTTATTTCTCATAGTTTTCATTGTGTTTACTAATAAAGACTGTAACTTTCTTGTTGCTGGTTTGTGTGTGTGTGTGTGTGTGTGTGTCTCACCCTTCCCCCGGCGTGTGTTTATACCCCAAACCTCCAATTTGTGTGTGTGTCACAACTTCTCCCAGCGTGTGTTAATATCCAAAACCTCCAGTTTGTGTGTGTCACAACTTCCCCCAACGTGTGTTGATATCCAAAACCTCCAGTTTGTGTGTGTGTGTGTCACAAGTTCCACAGTGTGTGTTTATATTCAAACCTGCAGTTTGTGTGTGTTTGTCACAACTTCCACAGTGTGTGTTTATATCCAAAACCTCCAGTTTATGTGTGTGTGTGTGTCACAACTTCCACCAGTGGTTGTTTATACCCCAAACCTCCTGTTCGGATATTACATCTAAAGGAAGGGTGGCAGTCTTTGCACTGGTTGAGCTATCATTACCAAATCCCAGTTAGCTTATCATTGGTGACTTTATAATGATGAACTTTAAAAGGAAGGAAGATAAAAAGGAACAGACCGAGCTTAACGGAAAAGAGAAGGTTTTAGATAAAACACACTAGGCGTCTTAGTAACCTAGAAACAACTCCTTAAGGAAATTATTGTATTGACAAATAATTTAATGTTCCTAGCATGAGAACCATACAAGTTAATATTCAGCCAATTTCTCTAGACAAGACTATCGTACATATGCAGGAAAATGAATCAGGTCCAGCGCTATGTCCTCCAAATTTTTACCTGTGATTAATGCGTACTATTTCAAGTTCGTAGCTGCTTCATTGAAATGGAACAAGATTTAAGGGTTAATAAAACTATATGAAATAAAATAGCGAGAACGTTATGACTTACGCGGTTCTCAGTCTTTTATCCCCATCAGATTTTCTTACGTTTTGCAACAAACAAGAGAAATCCTCGAACCAGGACGTCTTCTGGCAGCAGCCGCGATAAGTGTCTGAACTCCTGGGTACGATCACAAGGTGAAATTACGGTAATGAACTGACGGTAGTTCACGGGATCCTTCTCTATGGTTTGATCACAGACGCATGGGCGTGGGGTTATATAGCATTGTCCCCGCTAAATTTAACTGGCTGGGAAGTTTTGAAGCATGACCAGCGAAAAGTATAAGAGAGGGAAAACAAGAGATTTCTGAAGCAGCTTTCCACTCACACCATACGTTGATGCGATCTGACGTCGGTGTTGCTCTTATACTGGTACACACCTCGATAGCTTTTGCTGCTAGCGACATCTAGTGACCTTTATAATTTTTCTTTTTAATCTGCTTACCTTTTGCTTCCCACAGCCTCTCGTTTCGCCCTCTAGCGGAGGTGTGTTGGATTTTCTATCCTATGGGATTGACAAAATCACTTTTCCTCTCCCCGCTTCTTTACTGTACTTTTATTGTAAATAATAATTAGAAAAAATCTCATAAGCCAATCATAATGGTTTTGCTATTGAGGAAACGAGCCATTGACAAATATCAGCATATTAATACTAAATGTTCTTTCAGAGGCTTTATATGTATTGGGAATAGTCAGGTTATTACTGTAGCCTGAAGCTTTACTTTAACTATAATGTGGTAAATCTAGCCTTAGAGCTTTAACTTAACTCTAATACTTTGCTGAGATAAGCTTAACATTCAAGCTTTGGCTTACTTGAAGTTCATGTAGAAAAGGCGATACAATAATACATTAACGATTTTTCAATCAATGACAAATTTTGATTTGAGACAGTTGGTTCATTCACGGTCAAAGAAAACACACGGTTCAAGATACACATGTTAAGCCCGTAATACCTTTATTTAGTATTATATCTGTTGCTCAGGTACGATATTGTGTTTGTTGCTAAGATTTGTAACATTTGTTGCTGTTCTTATAGCACTTGATCGACTTTCATTCAATAAAAGGTTTACAACGAATGGAAGAGACATGAAATGTACTCGAACTATAAGTATAGACTGGTTATGTCGTCTCGGTTACGACACTCTTACAAAGTAATACAGTATATTACAGGCTCAGGTAATGAGAATTATACACTTGGAATCTGGTTAAACATATCCACACACATAAATACATGACAAGCACATGATTTGAATATTTGTCAAAATCAAGGAAAAAATACTATTTACACATTTTTGTATAATTCAAACATTTCAGTGTATATCACTATAGTACTAAACTATCGAAACTTTTCAGTGTATATCATTATAGTACTAAAGTATCGAAACTTTTCAGAGTATATCACTATCGTACTAAACTATCGAAACTTTTCAGTGTATATCACCATAGTACTAAACTATTCAAACTTTTCAGTGTATATCACTATAGCACTAAACTATTCAAACTTTTCAGTGTATATCACTATAGTACTAAACTGTTCAAACGTTCCACTGTATATCACTATAGTACTAAACTATTCAAACGTTCCACTGTATATCACTATAGTACTAAACTATCGAAACTTTTCAGTGTATATCACCATAGTACTAAACTATTCAAACTTTTCAGTGTATATTTAATTGTAAATATATATACTCACCTATCAATGAAAGGTTCATATTAGTTTAAATTTAATCATAAGTGATCATATTGTTTACGACGTATGCATAGATTTGAGTAGCACTGGAATAATATACACTGAATAGTTTAGTACTATAGTGATATACACTGAAAAGTTTTAATAATTTAGTACTATAGTGATATACACTGAAAAGTTTCGATAGTTTAGTACTATAGTGATATACAGTAGAACGTTTGAATAGTTTAGTACTATAGTTATGAAGGATAACTATAAATCAACTTATTTGATCTTGGAAACAATATTTCTTTAATAAGAGCTTAAATTTTGGTCATTAGTGTTATATTAACACCATACTTCATTCCAAATAGTTTCACTCATTTCGAAACACAAGAGCATTAAGTTTATAATGAATGCACTTTGTAAGGGAGGTTATAAATGCAAGTGTGTTTCGTTGAAGTGTGCTCTACATGAGCGAAATAAATGCAAGTGTGTTTCGTTGAAGTGTGCTCTACATGAGCGAAATGAATCCACATGGATTTACAAGGCAGTTTTAACGTCATCAGTCACAAGGAAGTATAATTCTTTTAGTGCTAATTATTCATGGAAACCTCAGAAAACGCAATTCGGGCCTATAAATACAAAACCACTTCCCGAACGCGCTGAATCAATAGAGAAAATAAATTCATAGAAAAATCCAAGTTAAAAAATTACGTCAGATGGATTTTGACCTTTGGTTTATTGCAGATAAGAATCCATGCTTTACCAATACCAATTTTTCCAAATTGTTATTTACTTCGTCCATCGGCATATTCATTTATCATGTCAGTGGTGGATTTGTATCTGTTGTAGATAGCCGTCCTTCGAAAGAGCATTTTACACCAATTTACTTCATCAGTGGAAAAAGTGAGACTCGCTGAAAGGTAAAGAATAGTTTAACTCCCTCTACACAAATCGTTTATTTTATTCATTTACTTTCCCAGTAGGTGGCGGCTACATTAATAACTATACCTGAATATATATACTTGTGTAATAACTTCAGTACATCTTTATGGATGATGGACGATTACATATATTCTGTAAGGGATTACCTAGCGAAGACGACAGTTCTCGTTTCATTAACCTTTCTCTCGAATCGATAGAAACAGTTGTTCTACTGTACAAGTAATCTTTCTTTAATCCTGGAAGCTGTAGAGACTCTTTGTTATTTAGAGCGGAGGCGACGGAGGATCTACGGACTCTCGAATCGATAGAAACAGTTGTTCTACTGTACAAGTAATCTTTCTTTAATCCTGGAAGCTGTAGAGACTCTTTGTTATTTAGAGCGGAGGCGACGGAGGATCTACGGAGTATGGAGAAGCTTTGGGGTGCTGAAGGCTATTAAGTTGTTTTTTTTTATTGTAAAATAAATATATTTGATCTGAGAAGATGCTGATAAAAATCAAAGAAACAAATGAGCAGCTTATACAAGAGGTTCGTGTCTGATAACTGAAACCAGATTTAGTTTCTTTTTCGATAATTTATTACAAACATAAACGGAAGCCTTAAGATTCTATATAAGTCAGTACATTGAATGTAGGCATACAACGACTAACAGAAGGAAACCGGCTTCTAGCAAAATGAGAGGAAATAAAAATTTACTTACTCCTTGATTTGTGTTCCAATCTGATAGAGAATCCTTGATTTGTGTTCCAATCTGATAGAGAATCCTTGATTTGTGTTCCAATCTGATAGAGAATCCTTGATTTGTATTCCAATTTGATAGAGAGAGAAAAAAAAAACGGGAAAATACAGCAGCAAAATAAAAAAAATCAAAACCAGTATCTATTTTGACTTTTACAGAAAACTTGCAATTCAGTTGATGAAATATTTTAAAATGTAACGTAGAATTATTAAAGTTTATAGTTAGTTAAAGAATGTAAATAATTATAATTTATTTCAAACAGATTTTAATACTATTTTAGTATATATATATATATATATAACAAAATAACTCACTGAAACCCATCAAACTCTAATATATAGATAAAAACAAAAAAAATGACTGTCTACTTATCTGATTAATACTTTCAAGCACCCTATGGGTGTTAAAATCAGCCATGATGGTATGGTTCCCCTTTAATGATCAGACTGCGGACTTACAACGATAGAAACCGGGTTTCGATACCAGTGGCGGGCAGAGCACAGATAGCCCATTGTGTAGCTTTGTGCTTAATTACAAACAAACAAACAATTTTC